TCCTGATCCTCTATATGAACCAGTCTCAGTGTAGTCCTGATCCTCTACATGAACCAGTCTCAGTTTAGTCCTGATCCTCTATATGAACCAGTCTCAGTGTAGTCCTGGTCCTCTATCAGACCTCCATCAGTAAAGAGACCATCAGAGAGAAGATGGTCTGTTTCTATAGAGTTATTCTTAAAGCTCGTCATCGGAGCCACCGGGTCGGATTCTGGTGAAACCAGATGAACTCATGCAGGTTCACCAGAACCTCCTTCAGCTCAGACTCCAGCAGAGACCGGTCCACCGCAGACAGACCCAGATCCTCCAGCGGAGACCGGTCCACCGTGGACAGACCCAGATCCTCCAACAGAGACCGGTCCACCGTGGACAGATCCGGAGCTCCGGAGGGAGGAGAGAGCTCAGCTCCCGGCAGCAGCAGCGTCTCCTCCTCCTCCTCCTCCAGGAGCAGAGCTTCTCTCTGCGAGCCAACACCAACACCACGCTGCTGGAGACCCAGAATGTATTGCTGGACCCGCTGGAGGGAAGGGAGGCACGGGAGAACCAGAACCAGGACTGAGAGGGGCAGACAGTCAGACCCTGCTGCAGTAACATGAGAGGTTTTCTAAAGGGAGTCTGGTGCTCAGAGACACTACCACTTTAGTCCACAAGGACCAGAATCACCACCAGATATAAGTTCCTTTTAGTAACTTGTGTTGTCTTTGATCTCCAGCCCATCCACGACCTGAGGCTGTCCGCTCTGAAGCGCTCTCTGCTGGGCAGCGTGTCTGACAGCGGCACCGTGGTCCTGTGGGACTCCAACACCCAGAAGGAGCTCCACGTGTTCGACGGGGCCCACAAGGCCCCCGGATCCGGCCTCGCCTTCTCCCCCGCCAGTGAGCTGCTGGTGGTCAGCGTCGGCCTTGACAAGAAGATCGTCTGCTACGACACGGCCAGCAAGATGTGAGACGCACCAAAGACATTATTGTTTTGTCTATAAAATGAAAGTAAATAGTGAAAAATTACACAAAAGTTTAGTCCAAAACCCAAAGACGATCATTTCATATAATAATTATATATATATATATATAATCATATATTACAGATAAAAGTGCAAATTAGAGATTTAATAGATATATTTTCCTGCAAAATTAACATTTTTTATAAACTGATTAGCTGAATAGCTGCCCAGCTAATTATGCTAAACAATTAATTGAGTTATCGATATTATTTAACACAACACACGGCTGTATTTACACATTATTTTGAGCACTCAGTGGTGTTTAGCGGTACACTCAGTGTTTTTACATCCACCTGTTTTTATGCACATTTTTAATTTGCACGTCAAAAAAAGAACCCTGAGTGGAAACGATGAAGATTCAAAACAATCGGCACAAAAAAGTTTTTTTGTGGAAGAGTTTGTTGTACAGATAAAAGCAAAATGAAAACAGATTTAGCAAATAAATGCTGACGTACATGAAGCATCATGTGACTTCAGCGTCCACTGAAGCTCCTCCTGTGTGTGTGTGTGTGTGTGTGTGTCCGTGTCCCCAGCATCCTGAGGTCGATCCGGGTGGACAGTCCTCTGACCTCGGTGGACTTCACGCCGGATGGCACTGGTCTCGTCGTGGGATCCACTCAGGGGAAGATCTACCAGTACGACCTGAGGAACTCCAGCGCCCCCACCAGGATCACAGCGGCACACAAAACATCCGTCACCTGTCTGCGCTTCCAGAGCAACACCAGTAAACTCAAGGTATCACAGAGTAACACCAGTAAACACAAAGTATCACAGACCAACACCAGTAAACACAAAGTACCA